AATTAAAGGAGAGAGAGACATGGAGAGGTTGCTCTTGGGACTTTAACACTTTGACAGGTGAAAAGGATGATGGTAGCCCCATCTTGACCTGATAGTGGACTATTTGGTACATTTTGAATTTCACGTCTCCCAATGCCATGTTTCTCAGGTCTGCCTAACATTCATCTGTGGTTCTTAGCTAGGAGGTGTTGTGGATTACTAGCAAGCGTTTGGGCCTCAGTTGCCCTGATCTGCAACAGGTCAGTTTGGCTGGGCATGTGTCTTTGAGGAGGTAGATGATTTTTGAAGTTTGATCCAGGAGTCCTTTTTTTTTTAATACAAATTTTATTTATGTATGTATATAAGAATTGGGGTGTAAGCCCATCAAAAAATGGGCAAAAGAGCTAAAAAGACACTTCTCCAAAGAGGAAATGCTGATGGCCAACAGCATATGAAAAAATGTTCAACATCACTTGCAATAAGGGAGATGCAAATTAAAACCACAATGAGATACCACCTCACCCCAGAGAGAATGGCACATCTTCAAACAACTAGCAACAACAAATGTTGGCAAGGATGTGGAAAAAAAAGAAATCTCCTGCACTGCTGGTGGGAATGCAAACTAGTACAACCACTATGGAAAACTGTTTGGAGGTTCCTCAAACTGCTTAACATGGAGTTTCCATATGACCCAGCAATCCCACTCCTAGGCATCTACCCAAAAAATACAAAAACACTGATTCAAGAAGATACCTGCACCCTCATGTTTATTGCTGCTTTATTTACAGTTGGAAAGACATGGAAACAACCCAAATGCTCAAAAGTATATGACTGGATTAAAAAGATGTGGTACATATACACAATGGGATCTTACTCAGCAACTAAAATAAATAAATAAATAAATACATGCCTTTTGCAGCAACATGGATGGAGCTGGAAAAGATCATGTTTAGTAAAATAAGCCAGGAAGAAAATGAAAAATGTCAGATGATTTCACTCATAGTAGGAGTATAATGAACCAGTTGAGAAAATAACAACAGCTATAGACCAGAGACATTTTATGGGGGTGGAGTAGGGAATGGGATCAAAAACAATGGGGGGAGGGAAATGCTCTGGACTAGGGTGGTGGCACATGGGTGCAGGGCAGTGGTATTGGGGAGACAGTATTCACCAGAGACAGAGTGAGGGACAGAATAGGCAGTTGCACTGAAATACACTGCTGAGGGGAGCACTGGGTGAGACAGGAGAGGTCTGCTACACCATGTGGGTCAGCTCCCTAGCCAGGGATTGAACTCATGTTGCAGTGGTTGGCGATAGCTTGACAGTACTAAGACTTAATCTCTTTTACTACCAGGGAGTCCTGGATCAGTAGTCTGTTATTTGAAATCCCTTTTCTTTTAGTCTCTTTTTCTCTCTTTTCCTCTCTCCTCCCCTTTGAGCCACTCCCTAAGTAAATGTCTTTGAGTATAGTAGTTAAACTCTGCTTTCTTGGTCTTTGTGGACAAAGATGACCAGACCCTTAGAACAGGGCTTTGTTTCTCCTTACAAGTTTGGGGTCTCTGTTATCCTTCAGTTTGGTCAGGATTCCATCACAACAACCAAAAATGTCTCCAGGTAATGTGAAATATCTTTCCTTTTTAGTTAAACAGCCATCTTAAAAAACAAAAACAAAACAAAAAAAAAAAAAAACTACATTTTTAGTTTAAGGATATCATATATAACTCCAGGCATTTATCTAAAATTCAAATTTAACTAAATAGCCTACATATATATTTTTTACAGATTTATTTATTTATACATACAGAACTGGAGTACAGGCCAGAGGTGCAGGAGTGATGAGAGGATTCACCAGAGACAGACTGGGGAGCAGAACAGGCCAACTGATGAAGTGCACTACTGAGGGGAGCAGCGGGTGGGTCAGGAGAGGTCTGCCACGCCATGTGGTTACCTCCAGGGCAGGTGGGGATGGAGCTCATGCGGAAGTGGCTTTAGCTTCTTAGTGCAGTGCTTTAACCCGCTGTGCCACCAGGGAGGGCCCTAGATAGCCTAGATTTTTATTTGCTAAATGTGACATTCCTACCTAGGAGCAAACTCATTCCTGGTCTAGTGTGACAGATCTAGAGTCAAATGCAAGTGTTTTACCAATTACAATGAGTCAATTACTTTTTTATTGGTTTGTTTTTAGAGTCAACTTACATAGAAACCATTCATAATTCTGAGTATTGTGCATTTAAAATCAGATTGTAGTGGGGGGAAAATAGTCCTCCCTCTGTTCTAGATGCTGTTGTTGAGAAACCCCTGTCATAAAAGATGACTCAAAAGAGAAAAACAGGAGTTTAATGACATGTATTCTTCCTGTATACATGGGGTGTGCTCAGGAAAACTAATAAAACTCCCTGATATATCATCTTTAGCTAATGAAAAAAAAAAATGTTAGGGGTGGGAAGTAGGTTGGAAAATGACCAGGGTAAACAAGGGTAAACATAGGAAAGGAAACAAAGATAAGATGGTGTTTAAATTTAAGTTTGTGACTTTTCCATGCATAAGTTTCTAGAGTTTGGAGTCATCCTCCTCCTCTTCCTGAAATGGAGAGATACATTTACAGTGGAGATTTCCTTTATAAATAAATGTCCCCTAAGAAAGAATCAATGCTACTCAGCCTTCAGTTTCCTCTGTGTCTGCAGTTTCTTACATATAATCGAATCAAAATTGTCTTCATGCTGAAGAAGCATATTTTGGAGTGGCATGTACTATCTTTCATAATACAGTCAAATAAAAGAATTAGAATCCAGTTAGGTGAGTTGAGTTTGGAAATCTTTTGAGCTCAGTCAGAGAGGAAAAAGCTTGGAGAAAGAAGCTACTAGCAGCAACACTACCAGAAAGGTAATGACAGTCAAGAGGTCTACCCGTACAAATTAGATATAAGAGGTTACAAAAGAAGCTTATAGGAATTAGGAAAGAATTATAAAAGATAGGGAAGTGCCCAGTGGAAATAACCTTCATGTTTAAGTCAATGGGAAAGTCTTAAGAAATTAAAGAAGCACAAAATACACCCAAGTCACACAGGAAGCCAACAGGAAGCCAACTGCAATCTTAGTGGGTATTTCAGGCTTGCGTCTCTTCCAGCAGAATTAGCTAATTCTTAAATTCCTAGGCAGTTGGCCCAAAGCCAAGACCAAACTAAAGTAAGCAATTCTTATTGTAACAGTTATGAATATAGCTCTTTATATGTTAAAAAACAAAATTTGTTTGAGTGAATTTAAAGATATAGTGGCTTTCTTAAAGGATTCAAGAAGTTGGCAGCATCCATATATAGCAAATAGCAAGCTTCTGTGAGGGGCCTGCCCCAAGTGGAAGGTTTTCATAGTCAGAAAGACCTGGAGACAAAGTAATTAGCAAATGCAAAGAAAAGCTACCTTAGCTCAGGGAGAGACAGAGAGTTTCTTATCATTAGATTACCTCATGAGAGCTAACCAGGGAACTCCAGATTGATAGATTTAGAATCCAATTTTGGGGCCTCCCTGGTGTTGCAGGGGTTAAAGACACAGCACTATCAAGCTATTGGTAGCCACTGCTTCAGGAGTTGGATTTCCTGTCAGGGAGGTGGTGACCCACATGGCACAGCAGACCTCTCCTGTCTTGTCTTCTGCTTTCCTCCACAGTGGATTTTGTAGATCTGCCTGTTCTGCTTCTGCTCCCCACTCTGTCCCTGGTGAATCCTCTCACTGCCCTGTGTCTCTGGCCTATACCTCATTCTTGTATGCATAAACAAATAAATGTTTAAAAAAATCCACTTTTGGAGGAGGCTGTAACCTGTAATTAGGTTGAGAATTAAGTCTGGGTGGGGGCAGCATGAACAATGAATATTTTTTTATATTTCCCTGGATATAAGTCTTGGGTCTTAGCCTTTAATTCTGGGGGCTAGAGAACTTAAACTAATTGGGCCAATCACAACAGCTTGCTTGGGATGATTGAACTGTTTCTTTAAAGGCATACGGATATTTTAATTCTGGAAATGTTTAACATTTTTCTATAATTTGTTAAGCTCAGAGAAACTGAGTGAATATTTGGTATTGTATTTGCTACCTAAAATGTTTTCAGTGTTCAAAAGATTTGGTACATTAGCATGCTTGAAGTTATCATTCTATTTAAATTATGTAATTGATTAGAGTAATTGATTGTAGACTTGTAATTTTTAAACTGAATATTATGATATAAAGTGGCTCATGCAGTATTTGAATGTTTAAGGCAACTTAATATTTATTGTGTAATAAGTTTAATTTAACAGATTTGCAAGAACATTTAAGTAGCTGGGAACCTATTCCTATATTATTTGACTGATAATTGAAGTGCTTAAAAAGAAAAAATGCAGTAACAGCACAAATGTTATTTAAAACATTTAATGTAATTTAATTAGGATGTAAATGATAACATAAATAATATTGATTCTTTAGTGTTGAGTTTTTTAATTTGAAAGTGATTAAGAACACACTTTTTACTTAAAATAATATAGCTTATTAAGCAACTATAATTTACTCGTTATTTAATTAGTTTCTATTAATCAAGACATCAAAGAATAATCATCTCTGTATTTAAATATAGTAAGTAATCCTTAGTGAAAATTCTGAAAATTGTTCAGGAGGGTCAAGCTCTATGGCAGACATTGATGGCTCGAGGAAGAAAATTTGTTGGTCTCTAGCCTTTCCCAACTGACACAAAAAACCCTGTTTCATGTAGGAAATGTCTTAAACATTCTGAACCGTTGAGTCCTTCCTGCCAATGTGAGACCTTTCCTTTCCCTTCAACTTGCTTCTTTCCACATGCTACCACTGGTAGACCAAATATGACTCAGAAACCGGTTCCTCGGGGTTGTAACATTAGATGGTGCCCAGTCTGATCACTACATGATTAGCTAACGCCTCTGTTTCATTGGGCTGGGTTTTCTAGTAGGCGTGTATCCAATTGTATTGCTGGAAGAGAGCTCACTGGTGTGGAAAGAAAGAACTTGGACTACTCTGTGTTTTTGGGTACTTTTCTCTCACTGGGAAGGACTTTGATGTTAATCAGTAACACCTCCAGCAGATTCTGAAAGCTGTGGTGGTGAAGTAACCATCTGAAGGACAGCATGGGGATTCTATACTCTGAGGTATGTACCTTTCTAAGCGTAAGTCTTCAAAGGTATTAAACACAGCCCTTCTTTTCAAATGTAATTTCCGATGCCTGTCAGTATATCCCATTTCTTCTGCTTAACTTTGTATGTGACCATTAAGTCTTACTGCTGTGTGCTAATATTTTTTTTTATATTTTTAATATCTTAAGGCAAATCATTTGTAGTTCTAAAATGCTAACCAGATGTCTAAATCTTTACAGGTATAATTTGCATCTTGCAAAATGAATTTGCATGGTGTTTTTTCTGATGTCAGACATCCAGAGGAAAAGTGGATTTGGTACCAAATTACAGGATTTTTGTAAACACCAAAAGATAAACTAGTTTTTAAAATAGCATTACATAAAAAATACATAGTAAATTTATTTGACATTTGAGAGGAAACTCACCTCTTATAAAGACTGTTCCTGTACAGAATAGGGTTAACACCAATGTATCTTTCAGTTCTTGAGATTTTTCATTTTACATCTGGTGGATACAAAAATTCTTTCTCCTATATTGAAAGTAAACTATTTGAATCAAATGGATTTTAATAATATTTCTAAGGAACATAAGATATTTTAAATAAGAACAGAAGTGTGATGTCATTATTATTCATAATTTACTATTCCCCCTCCTCTTGCTTGACTTCTTCTCCTCTCTAATATAACAGGTTAGTCTGCATTTTATTGCAGATGCTCAACAGAACTACCTTGGGTGGTTCTTTAGGTATTATAGGGAGTTTTTCTTTTTCTCAGTTATTTTAAACTCATGAGTGCGTGCGTGCGTGTGTGTGTGTTTATATTCAATGTGCTCTTTGAGTAGTTTATAATTTTAAACATGTCTTGCTCAGGGACTTTAGTTTCATGAAGAACTCATATATGAAATAACATTCAATGAAATCACATTCAGTGTTCTAAAAACACTACTCTGCTAATTCTCAAACTATAGATTGTTCAAATGTCAGGGAGCAAAACTTATTAAAAATGCAGTTTGAAGATTTCCAATACACAGAACAATTCACTCAAACTGTGGTCACGTCCACAGGTTACTTAGAGGAACATTCTAGGTGATTCAGAGATAGGTTATTAGATTACCATTCCTGGAGAGAACACTGTTCTAGCCTTGTGCTTTTCAAATTTTAATGTCCATAGAACTCTACTGAAGATCTTATTCAAATGCAGATTATTATTCTATAGGTCTGCAGGAGACTGGAGATTACTATGCTTTTCAGCTCTCTGATACTTTTGCCTCTGGTCACTATAAAAAGCTAGGCTGTTGTCAAGGCCCTGGGAATAACTATATTAAATAGTTTTTGGTTTTTGGTTTTGCAATGGTTGAGTCATGACAGGGCAAAGCAAAATATGTTGAGTTGATTCAATGAGGAATTCCCCAGAAATAGAAAAAAAATTTCCTCCTTTCAGATATATTGAGGACAAGCCAACTTAAATACCATACTTGCTATAGTATTTAAAAACATGCCATTGTCTCAATTCCTAAGACTATCCTAAAAGCTTGGCAATAATTCAAAGCTCATAACTGAAACTGAATCAAAGGTAGTTTCAGATATCATTATTATAGAACACACTATTCTACGTGAAATTATTTTGAGGCACTTCCGTTTGATTTTCCTTGTATGTCTACTTAATCTAGAATCAGCAATATGAAGCACCTGGACAGTTTTCATCATTTCAGGAAAAAAGACAGTTCTCTACCTTTTTGATATATAATTTGACAATTTGCTAAATCTCCCCCTTTTTGATTTATTGAATATCACCCTATTGTTAAACATTCAGGATTAGAATAATCTGACTTGAATAAAGGATGAAAATGCTGTAAAGAAATGATTTCTGTTAGGTTGGAAGAAAAAAATTCACTTGTTTCTTATTGTGGTCACATTTGGGAGTTACATGTGAATTCAGAAAATAAAACCCAGCGCAGTCTTATCCTTGATAGGTCTCAGATATGGTGCTCTATGTAACCCTTATCTGTAATTTTAAAGAAATCAAAGCTCTGTGGTAGTATCTTAAATATTTGAACATAACCTACTTACCTATCATAGGCCGGTTTCTCATTTGTCCTGTGCCAGCTGTGTTCTGTGTTCTAGATATAATTAATATGCATCACTAAATATTGTAGTAAGAGGATAAGAACCAGCTGATTGTGCCCTATTCTCTGAAAGTATGCTGCCTTGAAGTTCAAATTTTTACTTGACCTTTTAGCAAAATTCTACTTCTTACTTAAAACACTCCACTTTTAATGTATAGATTGATTCATTATATTTAATTAATTTTTTTTTTCACTGAGGTAACATTGGTTTACAAAACTGTGTTTGATTCACAGGTATGGGATTACACCTGTTCAGATGTATGTTATCACACTACACCCACTAACAATGCACCCACATCCTCCTCTGTGATCTGTTGAACCTTCTCCACACTTTATTCTCATTTTTCCCCTCTCCCTCTGGTAGCCTCATTTTTACAACCAAATTTCTAGAGTTCTTTTTTTTATCATTTTTTTAATTTCTCTATAATCCACATATGAATGTAATCATCTGTTATTTTTCTTTCTCCCTCTGCGTTATTTAGCGTAACCATTCTAGTTCTGAGCACATTGTCAAATGGAAACAATTCATCCTTGTTTATAAAAGCATGGTATTCATGTGTAAATGTGTGTCTTCTTAATCCATTTATATGACATTGGTTCTAATTTGAAAATAGGAATGCATATATCCCTTCCAATTAGTGTTTTGCCTTTTTCAGATAGTATCTAGGAGAATTGCTAGATCACATGGTAACTCTACTGTTATATTTTGAGAAACCTCCATACTATTTTTCATAGGTGCCCTTAGCTGGTTTACATTACCACCAATGCATATACACCAGTGTATAAAGTTTGCTATTCTTCCAAATCCTACCAACATTTGTTCTTTTTGTATTTTTAACATGACCAGTCTCACTGTTGTTTTGATTTCATTTACTAATGCTAAATGATTATAAACATTTTTCATGTCCCTGTTGGTCATCTGTATGTCTTCTTCGGAGAACTATCTATTTAGTTCTTCTGTCTTTATTTATTGATTGATTGATTTTGATGGGGTTTTGTTGTTGCTGTTGTTTTAGCTCCTTGTCAGATATATTATTTGCAAATATAATCTCCTATTCATTTTGGTGATCTTTTTATTACTGTGTAGATGCTTTTACATTTTATGTTCCATTTGTTTATTTTTGCTTTTTTCCCCCTTGCTATTAGAGTTGCCTTCCCCAAGACTTTCCTGAAACCAGTGTAGTGGAATTGTTTGCCTATTTTCTTCTCTATATTTTCTTCTATATATGGCTTCAGATGTTACATCTTAGCCTTTAAGCCAGTAAACCATGTTAAGTTAATTTTTATATATTATGTGAGATAATGGTCTGGTGTCATTCTTTTGCATATGGCTATCCAGTTTTCCCATCACCAATTGTTGAAGAGATTTTCCATTATTTAATATACACTTTGTCTCCTTTGTTGTAGATTCACTATTCATAAAATTTTTGGTTTATTCTTGGACTCTCAATTCTATTCTAGGTGGTCTCTGCATCTAGATTTAGCCTAATGTCATGTTGTTTTGTTTATTATAACTTTACACTTTAGTTTTGAGATCTGGCAATATACTACCATTCTTTCTTTCTTTTTATTTTTTGGTTAGAATTGATTTGCTTCTAGTGGCCTTTTGGGTTGCATATAAGCTTCAATTATTTTGCTTTTCTATTTCATTTAAGAATTCTATTGAAACATTGATAGGGAGTTCACTGAACCTGTATATTATTCTAGGTAAGATAATCATTTTAACAATGTTTGTTCTTCCAACCCATGATCAGGGAATATCTTTTCATTTCTTTGCGTCTCCCATTTCTTTTAACAATGCATGCATTATACTTTTCACTGTTTATGTCCTTCACCTCCTATGTTAAGATTATTCCTTGGTATTTAATGTGATGTGATGATAAATGGTTATCTTTGGTTATCTTTATTTTTTTCTCTTTCAGTTTATTGTTTGCACATGAAAATGTCATTTTTTTTTAAGATTTATTTATTTATTTGTACAGAACTGGGGTACAGGTCAGAGATGAGGAGGGTGAGAGCATTCACCAGAGACAGAGTGGGGTGCAGAACAGGCAGATCAATGAAGTACACTGCTGAGGGGAGCAGCAGGCAGGTCAGGAGAGGTCTGCCACACCATGTGGATCTCCTCCAGGGCAGGCGGGGATTGAACTCATGCGGAAGTGACTTAAGCTTCTTAGTGCTGTGCTTTAACCGCTGCGCCACCAGAGAGGGCCCTGTCATTTATTTTTGTAAATTAATTTGTAGCCTGCCATATGTTTTAGTAACCACTAGAATTTTTTATATGTATTATCATTTCATCTGCAAATAATGATAGTTTAATTTCATCTTTCCCAATTTAGATTCCCTGTATGGCTTTTTCTTGTTTTATTGCTCAAGATAGGACTTCTGACACTATTTTGAATAGTAGTGGTGATAGGAGCTATCCTCAACTTGTACCTGAACCTAAAGAAAAAGTTTTCAGCTTCTGTTGAGTATGATTTAAGATGTGCATTTGCCATATATTGTCTTTATTACTTTTAAAGATATTTCTTCTACCTCTGTTTTGGGGAAAGTTTTATTAATGAACACTGAATCTTATCAAATGCTTTCTTTGCATTGGTTGATATGACATTATGATTTTTTTTTTAAGATTTATTTATTTTGTGCATACAGAACTGGGGTACAGGCCAGAGGCTTAGGGGAGGCTAGAGGCTTCACCAGAGACAGAGCGGGGAGCAGAACAGGCAGATCTACGAAGTACACTGCTGAGGGGAGCAGCGGGCGGGTCAGGAGAGGTCTGCCGCACCATGTGGTCACCTCTGGGGCAAGCGGGAATCAAATTCATGCGGAAGCGGCTTTTAGATTCTCACTGCTGTGCTTTCACCCGCTGCGCCACCAGGGAGGGCCAATAT